CTTGTAGCACTGGAATTGATTTCCTTTTGAAAATTTCAAGCAAAGATAATATTATTCTTTTATTTGCATTATTTTATACATAAACGCTTTGCTCTCTTCGTTCGTGTTTTGCTGCATGCCAGCACATCTTTGTGCTGCGGCCAATCGTTGGTCAGCAATTGATTGATTAATACAACCATATCTGTCGCTCGGTCTGTCTGTGTAAATGGAAACGCACATTTACATTTAAAGCTTGATATTTTATATCAAAGATTGACAAATCGACTCCAGTTAGAGAGATTACATTAATAATCCTTGGCTCCAGTTTATGTCAACATACCCGCGAAGTCAAGTTGATGACAAATTTGATTGGCATAGATTTCTCATTGATATTCTCTTTGATTGATATGCAAATGTTCAGCCAGAGATTATTAGCTAATAGATGATTATAAAGAGACGGTGTACGCTTATCATTTTCGAATGCATTTAGTTTTTGAAGTTTTAGTTTACATAATTGAGTGAAACGCAGGAATTGGTTAAAATATTTTTTACTACAGCCTTTTATAATGACTTTGTTTTTTTTGGCAAATGATAATTGCCAATATTCTTATCAGAAAAGATGGTCGGAAGAAAAATTTTTAGCTTGTGAAGAGAAAAGTGACACCATTGCTGATCATCTGCTAAGTTTTGTCATTTAATGCCAACGACACTTTATCAGTAAGATATATAGCTAGACCTTTGATTAGCACTGCTGCTTCTTCTGACGATGTTGAGAACGGTCTAAAAAACTGCTACCCTATCCAGCGCATTCTTCCCTGACTATTTCACGTTTCAAAAAAGGAAATAATGGATATGCGGCCAAACATTTTAAGCAGATGGAAATATCATCACTTAAATAAACTCCCATTTTGAGGAACTTGAAGAAATCTTTTATTTGAGAGTACTTAAAAAAGGTAAGTGAATAATTCTGCATATTTGTCAATTCCGCTAAAGAATGAACGTCGAACATATGTTAGTGTTAAGCTGAGCTTCTCTTCCGATTTGTGGCGTCCGCCTTGATGTTGTCACACAAAGCGGAGGGACCAACAGTTTTACGCCGACTCCGAACGGCGATTGTATTTTTATGAGAGGCTGTTTTTCATGGCAGAAAGCAGAAGTACACTGTTAAGAAAAAAAAATGTTCCTAAATTTTTTTGCGATCTTGCTTTGACCAGGGCTTAAACCCAGGTAGCGCGCACTGCTAACCACTACACCCCAGCGGCCGCCAAATTCTTACTAGTCAATATAAAAATTAGAAATTTTTTTTTCTATATTTACCTGCAAAACTTATGCAAATTTATAATCTCGAGTAGAATTTCTAATTTCAAAAACCTAAAATAACTGAAGTTACTGCAATAACTCTAACTTGTATTCAAACAATCTAACTTGTTCAACATTGACCCATGAATATACCTACGTATTTACATACATGCATATGCTTGTATAAGTAACATTAATTTCCCTACACTACACGCAAACTCATAAAATTCGGTGTAGCTACGTACAATTGCAAAAAAAAACGCAAACAACTGTGCAAAAAACTGAATTTATTCGCTCATTTGAAATTACATATTCTGGCAGAGCACACAAATTAACTGCAAACTCAGGAAATGTAAATCGTAATTAAGCACACCACATACACATTTACAATCTCATATGCGTGTGAGTTTAACAAAATGCATGCGAGTGTGTTTGCTTAAATGGATATTTTCGTACATTACAGAGTACTCTAGTTACTCATACATACATACATACTCGTATAAATATATTTAACATATGTATGTGTGCATAACTAAAATGCAAAACTTTTTGCCTAAAACAACAAAATCAACTTAGTTAAAGTTGATTTGTTCTACTTAGTTAGTTACCTTAAAATTTTTCTATTTTCTCTATATTTATTCCGCACTTTGTTGACTGTGTACTCAACTCGCGTACTCGCCCATTTCAGGTCAAGGCTCAAGGCTAACTAAGTATAAAAGCTGTGTTGTTTTAGGGTATCAACTGCGCTCTCTAGTGAGCAACCAGCGACCCAAGTGAATAAAACTACATATAAATATATGTATACATAAGTAAATATATGTAAATGCATTTGTATATACTCCATCAGCGTAGGTCATAAAAAATGTAGGCAGCATTTTTGAAAACTGCTTAGTACATTGCATTATAATTCGTACCCATATATATATATGTTGTATAGCCTGCCAAAAATTCGACTGAAAACTTTTTATTTGCAACAATGCCAAATATTTTTATATGAAGTGAGTGAGTTTGTTGAGTAAATTGCATTGGCATTGAATTCACTAATGGCATAGTAGCGATAAATATTTGTGTTGTATCTGCTTATATACTCAAGTTATTTTGATTTAAAAAATGCACAATGATGGACTTAGCGAAACAAAAACAAAAATTTAAATTAAATTAAAACTAAAGGAATTAGCGCCGCGATATACATATTTTGCGAAACAGTTAAATATTCAAGTACTTAAATAGTAAAAGTGACTTTTGGAAAAGCTTTGGATTTCCATTAAAATAATTTGTTGTTAAATCAATGGGATTAAAAAAAAACAAACATAAAAACATTAAAAATTAATTGCCAATTCACTTTCATATACATATTATATACATTGGACTGTGTCAAATAAAACGAATGTATTTTTATCTCCGTTCCATAGTAAAATTTCGCTGTCGCCCACAAAAAAAATAATTGTGGCAATATTTCAGCCTCTTTATGCCCATTTTTCAGTCAGTGCTCGCAAAAATAACAATTTTTAATGAATCAACTTGTTTTGCGTAATTTTTTTTTGTTAAACAATTAAATATAACAAACAAAAACAAAAAGCCTTGCAGCGCGTTCATTTCTAATATAATAAATAAGTGCAATTTTAAAGTAGCTAGGACTTACCGTTTATTTTTGGCAATTTTATTCATGTTTGACTTCGCACAAAAATTATAAAAGTTCAGCAAACTTTAACATTTGCACCCGAAAATTTTAAACTTTTTATTTAAAATTTTTAGAAAAATTTTGGGTATGCAATTTTATATTTCATTAAATTATTTAAAATATGCTCGAACATTTCGTTTCTATGGGAGAAAATGCCTGGCACCATCAGCAAAAAATTTTTCAAAATCAATACGATTTTCTAGCGACTTGAAATTTGCACTTTAACCTACTAAAACTAATTTATCTAAAAGACTGCATACCCAAAATATTTCTAAAAATTCTAGATAAAAATTTTAAAATTTTTGCGTGCAAATGTTAAAGTTTGTTGAATTTTGTTTGAAATGTGGATTATGTGGCGCTGGTTAGGTAAAGGGCTAACTTTTATAAAAAAAAAATTAAGCATTAAATAAACAAAAGAAAAATAGCTAAAACTAGTCAAAATATCACTTGGTTTAATCAGCTGCCCACAAGCGTTAGCCCTCAATTTTCAAAACAAAGTTTCTGTACTATTTTATGATTGCGGATTGGGCTTAATAAGATGACCTTTATCACACCGTAAGAATCCACACTTTCGCTGCAAGATTTGCAGGTTTTATGAGCAAATCTTGAACCCCGGGCCTTTGTATTTCGTAATTTTCGAATTTTTTCTGCATTTAAAGGAGAGAGTTCTGTATTTATTCCGACTTAGATTTGGGTTCGGAGATGCGTAGTATTTGCCTCCCCAAACATAGAGGAGTAAACTCTTCGGAAATGTCTATGTAGCCCCACGAGGTTGATCTGTTGCTGCCTCTCCCTTGTGCGAAATAAAACAAATTGCGCTCTCACAGATAGTGAAGAAGTAGCGTTGGCTTCTCTATTACATAACACTGGTCTACAAGGGTTTTGCGAATAAGACGGGACCTGGTGTTTCCGAACGGATTTTTCGTGCTGAACACGAATCTGGGGTCCAAAACTTCCCATCACGTCACGTTTTCGAGAAAAAAGGGGTTGAAACCCCTAAAAACAGCGTTTTTGGCCATTTTTGAAAAATTGTAGAGCTGAACCCTGACGTGCTACAAACTTTGTATATGTCAGAAATTAAAGGCTAAATCGTGCCCTTTCGAATGAGCCCTATGCCGAATTAATCGCATGCACCCTTAGATCAGGGGGTGTATTTGTGTCTAGGAGTCCAGGGAAAATTGATCGCAGAAAGAATTTCATCTTAAACGACCATATAAAATGAATGATGCTAAGGTCTTAACTACATTAAGAGTCGCTGATTACGAATCTGAAGTTAGATTTTAAAAATTCAAAATGGCGGATCCAATATGGCGGACTTAAAAATTTTTATTTAGCGAATTTCAGTTTATTTTTTATATCCACCATATTCGACCCGTCATCTTAAATTTTTAAAATCTAACTGCAGATTCGTAATCAGCGACTTTTAATATAGTTAAAACCTTGGCATTATTAATTTTCTATGATCGTTTAAGATTAAATTCTTTCTGTGATCAATTTTTCCTGCACCCCTAAACACAAATACACCCCCTGCTTTAAGGGTGCACGCGATCAATTCGGCATAGGGCTCATTCGAAAGGGCACGGTTTAGCCTTTAATTTCTGATATATGCAAAATTTGTACCACGTCAGGGTTCAGCTCTATAATTTTTCGAAAATGGCCAAAAACGCTGTTTTTAGGGGTTTCAACCCCTTTTTTCTCGAAAACGTGACGTGATGGGACATTTTTGACCCCGGATTCGTGTTCAGCACGAAAAATCCGTTCAGAAACACCAGGTCCCGTCTTATTCGCAGAAAAAAAGTTGAAATTTGTAGACCAGTGTAATTATTTCTCACTGCAAACTATGACGACAGTGAGTAAACAATTTTAGTATTTTAAGTTTGCAAATTATTCATACATTTATTTTATCTATTTTGTATTCATTACGCAAGTGCACAAAACTTTAATTTTTTTAATATTATTCGAGCAGTTTTTTGAACACTTACATACATAGTAGCACGTAGTGCATAACTATTTATTATTAAAGTCAAATTATTGAACTTACCCGGATTGTGTTGCCTCAAAAGCTGCAATGAAATTTCCAGGACAAATTAGCGCATAAGAAGAAAAAGGTGTTATTAAAATGTTACAGTTATTTATTTATACACTAATTGTGTAAAATCTTTATCAGGCTATAAGCCATAATACCCAAGTTTTTGTGCATATTTTTTTTTTAGAATGATATCGCACATCGTCTTCAAAAGAGTCACAACTCAAAATAATACGTTCGTCAGAAAATGCGAAAAACTATTTCGTAGCACATGCTAATCATATGGGCAAGGCCGACTTTACCTTAGGTTTTTTTAACAAATTATAACAAAAGGTTGCTCCAGCATTTGCTGAAAGGTAAATAAAAGCTCTGTGTACATTTCTAGCGCATAATCTCAAAAATGGCTAATTTTGAGTTGTGACTCTTTTGAAGACGGTGTGCGATATGTGTAAATTTTTTCATAAATCCGCTAGTCTAGTATGTAAGAGGGAGTGGGACGTATGTATACGAATAGTTTTTGCTAACTTACCTTTGTGGCTTTAAATTCCAAACTTAAATTCGCCTCTACATGCGCTGTGGTCAAACCGTTAAAAAACACACCCAACAACGGCAGCAATATCAGCATTTTCCTAAAAATATAAACAGATAACACAGAAAAAGTACAGTAGCTGTTATATGTACATAAATATTACGGTAATAAAAAAATTGATTACAACTGTAAATATGCAGTTATGAAAAATGTCAGTGAAATGTATGTGTAAAAGGGGTAAATTAGTTAGTCAGCAGTCGGCCGGGTGAAGCATAATAAAAAAAGGTCAAATGGTCGTTGGACACTTAATGCTTATACAAATACACACAATATAAGAAAAAAGAAAGCGTGAAGCATAAATATATACGTTGCTTCTTTTGAAAGTGGAATAAGTAATTTGTCAAGGTATTAATAATATTCATTGCAGTTTATTCGCAATCGGTATGTTCAAACCCGCTTTGTCGATACGTTGGTTTGGGATAAAATATTTTCAATGCAAGAACTCATAGTTTGCTCTTTGTGATGTACATTAGAGCGGTAAAAAAAAAAAATTCCCAGATAGGGTTTTGGGCACCTTCCAAAATGTTTCCTCTTGCCGAAAGAGGTGCTTATACTAAACTTTACGTTTCTAAGTATTCATTTAGGGGATGCTCATGATGCTCATATTTTACTCTAGAGGTATTGTGTACATATATGTATCAATCAAACAATTTGTTAACTAACCTAAAAACATTTCAAATTTAAATTATCTATTAAAATATCAAAAGCTTCAGTTGTTATGGCAACAGTAGCTTTTTATAAAAATCACCAATATTTTTGACAGTTTTACAACGATCCAGTAGCGCCTTTCAAGTTGATTGAGCACTCTGTATTGGTTGCAGTAGAAAACTGAATGTTGGTATGGATATTGCAGATATCAAAAGGAAAAACTAAGGGGGTGACCCGTTTTAATAGGATGAATTTTTTTCCCCATACAAAAGTTGCACCACACTAATGTACATAATTGAAATAATTTTTTGTGCTTTTTCGGGAAAAAGTACAAGCCATTTTTAAACAAAAGAACAAAAATAACTTCAATTTTCATATAAAAATTAAAAGATGACCGGTTCTAAACCAAATTAGTATCGGACCACCTCGTAAAACCGGTTAACGTGGTCCAAACTTATGACGTAATATACATAAAAAAAAAATAAAACATTTCGACGAATTAATAACCTCCTCCTTTTTGAAGTCGGTTAAAAAGTATTCAATGCGGTAAAAGGGAAATAAAGTTGAGTAACATTTACGTACCGCAGAAGAACGCAACGTTGCAGATACATGTATATATATACGTAAATAAAAAAATCGCATAATAGCCACCATAACAGTAACCGACTTATAAAAAAAAAAACAATAATAATTACAAAGCATTATATTATGCTTTGACGACTGCTACAAAGGCACTAAAGTGCTTCATCGCCTTTTTCAGCAGCTTCCATAAAAGTCCATCCTTTTGCTGCCGTCGGTCGGCCTTTGCGATAACGCTTGCCCCTTTTGTTTATATCGACATTGCTTTTCTGCTTTATTAAAGGCTTTTAAGTTTATTTATTTATATGGAAAAGCATCCAATTGCCAGCAGCAAAACTGAACGACAGCTGAATACGAAAATATTGCAGAGCTGTTAAAAATGGCGAAGTAAGGGAAAGTGAAAACTCAATAGCGGAAAAGGAAATTCAAGCAGGCGTGAAAACCGAAAAAGCATTAAAGGCAGTGCTTTAGTTGTTGGCCTTTTCTTGTTAATTCTTTTTTTTTAAATAATATAATTTTCTTTGTGGCTCTCACTGCACTGCATTGCCCTGCTGTCTGCCTCTCTCATTTATTGTCTCTTGTATTTCAGCATGAAAATTACTCATTACGCTACAAAAAGTCGCTTGTCATCAGCATCATTTTGTTGGAATTTCATATGAAATTTTCTTTGTATAAAAAAAAGTGAACAAAAAGGAATTTAATATGCATTTTTCACTTTTATTGTTGTTCGGAAACTTGTTGGAAAAATAAAAAAGAAAAGAGTTAAACGGAATTTAATTGAACAGTTATTGCCATAATGCTCCGTTAACCTTTACGCATATGTATATCTATGTGTGTGTGTGTGTGTGCGTTTACATTTATTAAAATCAGCGAAGCGAAGAAAGTTGCCTTTCTTTTGTCATTAATTAAATGTGAGCAATGCCAATAATTGCATTTTCGTACACGGAGTCAGCCAGTATGCTGGCCGGCTAAAAGGTTGTCTTCGAAAAAAAATTCGCAATATTATTAAAAAAAAAAAATATTTGTCAAACGATCAGCAGACTGCATATAAAAAGGTAGTTAACAAATAATGGCGGTAAGCATGGCACTTCGATACGACCATAAATGTCGAATATTCACTTCCAGCGACACTCATACGCCATGTTGCACTTTAAAAAGCTGCTAAAAGACAAAATTTTTTCGCCAACCGGTTTTCAATGATGGCATTTCGTTTATGGTTTCTTTTCTTGTGGCCGTTTATTTAATTTTGTATTTAAATGTATGGACGTATGTAAATGATTGCTGTATGTTTAAAATATTTCAATATTCGTGTTGCTCTTACTCTGTTATTTCAGGAGGTGCTGTGCAAAGGAATTTAACATAGTCAATAATTTTTTCAGTAAAATAATTAACCTACGTCAACTGTTGCGGACTGGATAGCGTATGTAAGTCGAAATATGAGAACGCTGAAGGCAGATGTGGAAAAATAATGTGCTTAAATAAATGTATGTATATTAGGGTGCATGGCTATCCCAAGAAACAAAAAATCGGTACCGTTTTTCCACCGGAATTATAAAATCTATTATATTGTGAGACCCCTGCCAGCATGTTTTAGAAAAATATTAACATTTACGTGCCCTGTACCGATTTAAAAATATCTCCGAAATGGAGTTTTTTTTAAATAAAATTTGTTAAACAAATATTTTTTTTAAAAAAATTATCTCAGATGATAGCAGAGTTAAAACTTAGAAGATCTGCATAAAGGTGTTAAGAATTTGTACCAACGTAATCAAAATAATGAGATTTTTGGAAGTATTTTCAAATCGGTCTACCTCACATAAATCTTAATGTTTTTCCGAATTATTTTGCCGGAGCTCTTATAATAAAATAGATTTTATTATTCTCATGGAAAATCCGCATTTCTTTTTGGCGAGGCACCCTAATGTACATACATATCGTTACCTTAATTCACAAAGGCCCTGACCAACACTTTTTTCGAAACTGCGTATTTCACATATTTTGGTAGGATTTATTAATATACACACATGTGTATATGTATGTGCATATTTATATATTTATATATATTTACATCGATAGTACTCTTGAAAGTTATTTGTTTTTATGATAGATATCTCGATATTTATATAGCGAATGATAATATCGATAAATGTATCGATAAATTTATAGATAAATAATTAAGAACGTATGAAAATTATTCCCAACATTATTAATAAGAACACCAATAGCAATAGCGATAAATATATTGGTAATGATTCACATATATATAACGAATATTAATGCTAAATGTGCGCCAAAGTATATTTGTGTATATTTTTATATCTATTTTTACGGACAGCTAGAAAATAAATTATGGAGTAGGGGCGGGAATTTTTTCAACTGACCTCCAAATCGAAGATTCTATTCAACTACCGAATTCGGGTAATGTTTCTCAGGCAGAGATCTTTGCCATATCAAAAATCGTGCAAAATAATTTTAGTGTCGAAGCTAGCCGGCACCAGCATTGCTATATTCTCGGATAGCCAGGCAGCCATTAATGCACTTGGCTGTGTAAGCATCACATGCAGCATAATAAAACAATGCAGAGAGAACCTTATAGCTTCAGATGATAGACATATCGTTGCACTGTTCTAGGTGCTGAGACCGTAGGCAATCTGGGGAGCTCATGAGGTTAAGCAAGCTGCATCTCTCGCTAATAAGTAAGCATGCCGTAAGGCAGAACATCATCGATGACCCTTACTGCACCAGCTGCATGGAGGATGATGAGGTGGAAGAAGAAGTGGAATCATCTCAATGCCTGTTGCTCTGGTGCCCGCTTTTGTGAGACTAAGTTTTAAGCACCTTGGATCGCACTTTTTTCGCACTCCCTATGAGCTGTAGGGAATGGACATCAGCCAACTGAAGAGGTTATTTGCGAGCACGGAGCGTTTCTATTTCCCCCCTCTTTTCCTATCTTTCCATTCACCTTCCGTCCACCCTACTGCCTTTTCCCTCTCCCCACTTAAAGGCATCACAATGGACAGCTTAGTTGAGTTTAACCTAAGCTGGGGGATTTGAAGAAATCTAGAATTTTTATTACAAATTTATTTATTTCATTAAATGCATTCAAGCCAAAAACATTGCTACTATTTTAATATGCTGTACGTATTATATAGTACATACATACATAAGTATATTTTTTAAAGCTGAAACATGCAGAAGTACATACAGAAACATAAGCAAACATATGTTTCGAAGTACTGTTGTAAATAAATAATTACTCAACGTTACCAAAGCATTTAAAAAAAATAATTACATAAAACGAATGAGGCCAACCAACAGCGTATCTGCTTACTTACATACATATATGTACATAAATACACCGTAATTTGTAGTCGGCGTACTGCAAAAGCGCCTGCAGCAGTGCATAAGTGTCATCACATGAACGCGCATTTAAAAAATAAAAGTTGAAAAAAACATAATTGTCTGAATGTTGACGCAAATTACCGCAATTACTGCATCCATTGCAAACATTTTAACGTTTGCGTGCAGCTGTAAGGCTTTGCTTTGTAATGACATTTATAAGGATAATCGTGGGTTTCCGCAAACTGTTTGGTGTAATCAACTACTACACTCATAGTAAATTGTTGTAGTTGATGGGCTGGTGATGTGTTGATTACATGTTTGTTGGTTCGAAACTTTTTTTTATTAATTTAGTTCATACATATATGTTGCATGATTGCTTTGGGAAGGCAGGTGAGTTATGTTCTTATTAAGGATTAAGACACCCATGATAGCCGAAGGGTTAGAAGTGTATGCTGTCCTGATGAGTG